TTTTAATGTATCAAAAATTTTGAGTATAATAAGTTTTTATTAATACTTTTATTAATAATTAAAAAATTTTTATTAATATTTGATTTTTCTATATTTTTTATTGTTATTTAATGAAAAATTTCGCGAAAAAATTAATCTTTCTGTGCAATAAAATTAATTAATTCTTCTGTGCAATAAAAAATAATTTAGAAAGCATAATATTCATTCAAATCTAAAAAGTACTATGTCCATAATATATATTGGCTGAAAGCCATTCAAGTTCTTACTCAAAAATACTAAACTTTATGGCTAAAAATCTTTGAAAGCGAAGACGATAAAAATGGATGACGAATTACAAATTGTTTCCAGATGGATCTTAAGCGTAAGGACAGACACGCAATCGATTATCTATTTACCATTTGTAGAAACTGTAAAAAAACAAAAAATTATTAAATAAGTGAATTTTATTAAATTTAACTTAATATTATTGATTTTTCTTCAACAATTATTGTTTTATATTCATTATTAAAATACTTTTTTTATTAACAACTCGTATTAAAATATTATGTATTGAAATTATATTATACAATGTATTTTTTGTTTTAATTCATATTACTGTGTGATTATAGAGATTTCTTGCAAAGAGAGCACAAGGAGATATTGAAAAACGACAGTGACATTCACAAGGAACCCTTGAAGACGGATGGACCATCCATTAACACTGGCTTGGAGCGTTCTTATTCGAGTCCAAATCTGTTACAGGTACGAAGAATTCCGCGCTACAATCTTATAATCAATCCGTTCTTTTTTATTTTTTAACTATTTAAAATAGCAATCGCATAATTACATAATTTCATTAGTTGGGAGATCGTAAAGCACCTCAGATAGATAGAACTTCTAAGCCACATATTTCGCCTCGAAATCAGAATGGAATTGGGAATGAGAACATCAAAGTGTCTTCTCTTAGTTGGGGGAATCGGGAGGAACGAATGACCCCTATTCACGGCACTGTTGTAAGTACTTATTCGGACAAGATTATACGGGCACTTTTCGGCAAAATTGCTAATACGATCTTACATACGAACATTGTCATAGCTTTTGCTTTCATTACATTCGTTTCCGCGAATTATTAAAGACGAATGTTCGAGTTTTAAACAATAAAAAATGCGTATGGTGTTGGATTCTCAGTCTTCCATTTCATATAATGCTTGGCATAAATCACATGTATGATATTGAGCTGTGAGTGATATCGGCATGATAACAACGTAATCTGTAATAGGAATATAACAATATTTACTGTTAATACAATATTAGTTTAAGACTTTAGGCATTAATTATTCTATATGTATACTTTCTATTTTATATTTTCAACGTTCAAAACAGATATGGGTTAATGAGAATGTAGTGCGGTTGTCGCACAGGTCGATTCTATTCAGACAAATATTTGGACATCGTGTCTTAAACACGTCATGGATGTAAATAACGTTAAGTTCAAAGTTATTTAAAATTCACTAATTCATTATTTAATATCGTTTCATTATTTAATATTATTTAATATATAAAGCTTACATCGGTTCCTAAAGAAGACATTTGACTTGAGTTTTGGCAATCTGTAAATCAATGAGTGAGTCTTATTCTTCATGGACTGACGAAATTTTATTTGTTATTCAATTATCATTGAAGATGATTCGAAATAGAGTCGAAACGTTCGAAAATCAATGTTACATCACAATTTGTTAAATAAATTATAAATCTAATATTGATTTAATATTGTTTTGTGTGTACGCACCTGTAACTGAGATACAATCTTATTAGTCCGTATTTGTTTCGATTTTTGTATTTAATTTGTTTGAGTTCTTTATACTATTACTATTTGTATATTTCAACATTGAATTGTTTGAAATTCTGAAGAATTAATTTCCTTTTATTAAAAGTTCCAGTTTCCTTTTATTAAAAATCTTAGTTTTAGAGTGAGCATACCAAATTAACAGATGAATAGCACAAAAGTCATTAAGAGAATACATAAATTAGTTAATACGCATTTTATAATTTTAGTCGAGAAGAAATTTAGTAATTCTAGAGCACGTGTCACGTGCAACATAAGTATATCACATACATAAATGAATGTATGCGCACGTGTACGCGCGAAGTAACTCAACACACATGGGGTTTCTCAATCCAATCCACAAACAAACTTCCGATTAGTGGTATGAAATACGCGGCAGTGTCCGAGCAACATTTGCCAGATCGTGGATCACCTATCGGAGGTGTTTCCCTCCCGAATGTATCCATGATGTCTTTTTTTATTACGTTATAAAGAGGCACTTCTTATTATAAAAGCTGATTATGCAATATTAATTCAAGAAAATATTGTGTGTGTATGCGTGTGTGTGTTCGTTAATATATTTATATAACATTAATATATCTGCTACTAGCTTACGATTTTGTTCGTTAGCTTGCAATAACGATATAATGTTTAATTGTAATTTTATGCACGATAATATAATCAAACATGCGTATGGGTACAATGCTTACTATCTTGTGATAAAATAATTTCTCGTTGGTGTGGTGAAGAATGATAGAGATAATGGTGTATCTTCAAAGAAGATTTATTCCATTACAATTGCTTAATTATTTTAAAAAGGTAATAGACAGAGAAAAAACGATTTTATACTAATTTTTAAATAATTCATCTAACAGACATGATAAAGAAATTAAGAACATTGTTCTTTTCTTGTAAGTAATATATATCTCTGATTCTTTTAAAAATTATTGTATCTAGTTAGAAATATTTATTTTATACAACACATAATTTTATAAAGTTATTTATTAATGAACTTGAAATTAATGAATAAATTATTTATTAATGAACGTGAAATGAATGAACTTTCTACAATAAGTTATTACCTAAGCTTTAATGGGCTTTCTACAACAAGTTATTACCTAAGTTTTAAATCTTAAAGTAAGAAATTAATCAATCACAATCGAATGTGAGAAGAATAATCGATTATGATTGATCAATTTCTTATAGCTTAAGACCTAAAGCTTAAGTAATGACTTATTATAGATAGCCCATAAGTCTTAAAGTAAGAAATTGACCAATCATAGTAAATTATTCTTGTCACATTTAACTGCGATTGGTCAATTTTTTACAGCTTAGATAATGACTTATTATAGAAAGGAGAATGTTATGATAAATCTGTTTTTCGGTTAAAATAAAAAGAATAATTAAAACGATTTATTAAGATTGTATAATGAGTACACAACAAGTAAGAGCCTGTTACAGTCTATTAATGCTTATTATAGTCAAAGGATTTTAGATGCTTTTTAAATAATTTCTATGTGAATTTATATACTAAATATGTAGTTATTGTCCGGTTGTCCGGAAAGTTCGACTAAAATTTAAATTTTAGTATACATTTATTAAATTAAAATTTTCGTTTCAATTTTCAACACGAACTTTCCGGACAACCTAATATTTATTGTGCGCCGAAATGATTTTTCGAACTTATAAACGCAATCAAACTACTATAATATCATAAATTAAATTAAGCAATTTAAGCAATTTAATAATTTGATGCTCAATTTGGCATCTTATTAGAAAGACGTTAATGTACTGAAAAACTGTAAATAAATTTATTGCTTCGGCCGGTCGAATCCGGATCTCTTGTATTCCGTACGAGCTACCGTCCTAAGCCTTTAAATTACCGAGCCTGATTGCCAGCTTCGATCATAATAGGCATTAAACTCTTACTTGTTAAAATAAAAAAGTTCGAGATGTATAAATTACATATCATTGAAGGACGGATCAAATGATCACTTATTTTAGGAAAATATTGGAGAAATCGTTATCAAAAACAGTTATCAAAAACATATTAAGATATTTTGAAAATTAAGCAATAAAAATTATATATATTAATACTAAACTTTTGTTGCCCGCTCGAATCAATCGCTCGAAACTCGCCTGCAAGTTTTACATGTTTAATTAATAATAGTTCTTATTGATTAATTCTAAAGATGCCTTAATATTTTACTTATAACTTTTTATCAATAAATGTGATAATGTTAAATTTGATTTTTCCCATGTTCCCAACATTTCATCAAATTAAGTAATATATCACTCGACTTCGTTTAAGTATTCCTTTAATATACATAATTTGTACATCTCAAAACTTTTTTTATCTAATTCAAAAATAGTCCTAACTTAACATCCTCTTTTAATATCTAAATATTTTAATGTGAAAAATATTTGAATATTTAATAAATGCTAAACTCTTCCACGATTTCTTAATGGAATGTTTTAAATGCATTAAGAATAATTAATAAATGTTATCTATTAAGAAATAATGAATGATAAATTAGTTTTTACGTCAATGTACGATATACAAATACGTCAGAGAGAATACATTATAAAGTTTTATTGACCATCACATGTAAATAGATCGATAAACCACTTGCTTAATTATGTTACGCGGAAAATAAATCGCGCAATCTTGCAACTGTAAGTTCCATTCTTTGAGAAAAGATTAATCATTCATGCTGTTATTCTTTTGTAGTAAAAATTTGATAAAAATATATTTCTGAAAAAATTTAATTATTGCCATATCTTATGAAAAGTTTGTTTAAAAGTTTTAAATATGTCTGGTGTGTAAACAGATGTTCAAAATTAAAATAAAGTATCATATATATAAGAGAGTTAAATAAAATCTAAATTTTTCAACGGAAAATTTTGATTATCTATATTTT